CTTCATTCTATAGACAAAGAAAGGAAGGCTCAGAGTGGTTACTATTTTTCTTTTTAAATTCAGGGAGCTGATCAGTGATCTAAGATCTGTCATCTTCTGCCTCAGAGCCTGACACTTCTCTTTTCTTTCTGACCAGTTATGCACCAATCCTCTCCTCTTAACCTCTATTTTTAACATCACCTTTTCCTCATTTACAAATTTTTTTAGATGTTTTATGTCAGGGACATGAGAAATAGACATAATGAAGCCTCTAAACCTTATTTTTCATTTTATCGTCATGCTTTTCTTCTGAAAAATATTTTACTAAAGCAGCTAGCAAGCAAAAAGAAAAGTTATACATGTAAATTTCACTTTCTCATCCTTTGTTTTGAGAAGTTCTACAAAATGGCTGAACAGTAAAAGGGAGAGAAAGGGAGGCTGTGGGCCAAACAGCACAGCACAAACTCCCTACTCAGGAGCACAGCTCGCTGGGTGATTTTGAGCAAGTAACTTCCCATGCTGAGCCTCAGTTTCTTCATCTTCAAATCAAGAATTTGAAGAGAAAATCCTAAATCCCTGCCAGCATACGAGGTTTTTAGATTCATGCCATCAAAAGACTAGCACATGTCACAGCACGTCCTCCAAAGCCACACCATTCCTCTACTGCTGAAATTTCTGAACATTTCATATAGCCACCATTCAAATTGTGCCATACACTCCTAATTTACTCTTTATTAGAGCTCAGCTCATGTGTCTGTAGTCTGTTTTTCAAGATAACTTGAGAGAAATCAGAATTTGTGTGCTATTCATTCCCTTTCAAAAGCATATTTTCAAAATGTATTTAGGCAATAGTACTTTTCCACAGCATAATTGTATCCTAATGTAAAAACTGCAAATATATTTCTTTTTCTACATTTGGCAAATCCTTAAATGACCTCATATTTTAGCATCATTATATAATACACAAAAGAAGATGCATCTTATGTGAACTGATACACACAAATAGGATTTTTTTAAAGATTCTTGACACATTACCGTATGCTGCATGCTTTTTATGGATTATGAAAGAAAAGAAGACTAATATACCAACTGAAGTTTAAGAATTTCTCAACATTATCTGAATTTCTATAGCACCTACTCCATTTCATCACACATTCAAATGTCAGTGCTATTAACAGTGTCCTCAAAGGATTTATACGCTGATTGCATTTGAACAAAAAATTTATATTCTATTTTATAGCCAATCAATGATAGTATGTGTATCACAAAAATGAGAGAATGTCAGATTCATTGACTGATTTTGTATATTCATATTACAGTTATTGCAATGTTTTTATGCTCAAACTGGATATAACAGAATTAGCAAATATATCTGTTTGTCTAATGACATTCCCAATATAGCCTTTAGTGTTCTAGGAAACATTTAGACTATCATGATATCATCTAAAATAGGCACCTCTATCTTCAGGTTTTACCTGGCTACACTTTTCTTCGTAAACTTATTACTATCTGAGATTATGCTATAAATATATATCTATAATTGTTAACTATCACCATATTGTGAGCCCCATGAAGGTAGAAAGCTTGATTGTCTAATCACTATTGCCAGCACTTAGAAAAGTGTTGATCTCATAATAAATGCAAAGTACATATTTGCCGAATACATAAGTGAAATTTAGACTATTTATATGTGCTTGTAAACACATATATACTACATTAAACTGAGACATATGTGCATACTAAATCATAGGTATATAGTATATTAATTTTAGAATTGAAAATTTATAATCATACCAAAATAATAACCACACAGATATAAGGCTGGATATTTGCAAAGTTGTTTTAGTTGTTTGATGTTATTGCTGTTTGTGGTGCCAGGGATTAAACCCAGGGCCTCATATGTGGTAGGCAAGCAAAGTCATTTTAAAGAGACAGAAGCCCTCCTCCACAGCTAAGGATGAAACCTGGTGTTCCAGGACAACCCAATCTCCATATATGAGAACTGGCCCCAAGGTGCCCTGAGAACAAAGAAAGAAGCAGGCAGAAACAGGACTGTTCAGGGTCCAATTTATTAGGGACTTACTTACAGAAGCCAAGTTCTGGGGAGCAGGAACATCAGATGAATCTTCACTATTTGGATCAGAAGGAGGGGGCATATGTTGTGGTCAAAACAAAAGTGACTTCATCCAAGCTTTAATGTACCTGGTTAATTTCAAGCTAACATCAAAGACTTCGGAAAAGTTCGTAACACTGATGGCACCAGGATCTTGGCTTAAAGATACACATACCACTAGTTCTGTCATGGTGCCAGCTCCCATGGAATTCTGGAAGTTGCTTCTTCCATAACCTAATCAAATAACTAGAGAAACTAAATGTAAAGAAGCTTTTCAGAGAATATAAGGCAAAGTAGTTAAGGTTGAATAGTTCCGAAGTCTTCACAAAATTAAACTTGAAGAAATAAAAAATAATATTTATCAGTGCTCTGAAATTATTTCAAAACAAAGTTACAAGCTTATGTGATCTCCCAAGAAACTATGGAAATATTAAAGGTATACTGACAATAATAAAAAATGACCAATAAGATGCATTCAACTAGATTTTTACTTATCTCAATAGAATGAGTAGTAGTTGATTCAGATATGGACAAAAATCTATGGAGAATGATTAGCAGGAGATAATCTAGTAGAAATGTTACATCTGAAAGAAATTACTTAAATGCTTTTATTTAGAATTCTGAAGCCATTACAGGGAAAATTTTTAAAATATTAATCCTAGATAAATTTCCAATTCTTTCACTGGTATCAAGTATAATCTCATGTAGCTTGTGTCTCCCTTTCTGCATACCTAAGGGCTAAGACAACAATTTACATGCGTGGGTTTTAATATTCCATTTGAATTAAACTTTTAGAGAGAAAAGTGCTATTTTCTTTCTTAATCTCAGTTTCTATAGTTTTTAATGAGTCAAGAAATTAAAAATAAAAGAAAATAATACAAATATGATGTGAGATATTTGACATAATGGAAAGGAAACCTACCTACATTCTAGTGTGTACACAACCACCTTTGTGGTTGGCCTGTAAATATCCTTGCTGCACCTCAGAAATTTATCTGAAAGAAGAGACCTGCACCACATGATTTGTGCAGTGATTTTCATTCATGATAAACTTTCCATTAAGTAAATAAAATATTAATTCTAGTTAGGAATAGGACTGAAGGTTCAGAACTTTGGATATTCAGAATAAATATTCCCTAACCCATTATTTATAGTATCTACAAAATAAGTAACTCACTTAATTGAACATTTGAACAATATGTTCATAAGTCAACATTTGAAAGTTTCTGAATGTAATTGAGAAAAACAGACAGCACAGCAAATGTGAAAATAGAACATATTACAACTTGCAATCTTTAATTCTTTATGGATGTATTCAAAAATACAAACTTAGCTCAAATGCCTACAAAATAAAGATTTATATATGTGGATATATATTTTTCTGTTTATCAATATAAAAATATTAATTTTGAATTCAGGAAAATTTTTGAGTTACATGATCAGTAAACTACCAGGAAGGCCATCTGTTACATTTGCTTTAAGATGTCCATACCTGAATAATTTTTAATTACTGAACATATTTTATAAGAAAAATTATCTCAGATAGATATAAAAAAGGTACCCCTTGGTTCACATATAATCATTTTTTTTTCACATATAATCATTTCTAAGATGGTGATGCCCTTTTGCATAATTAATTGTGCTTCTCTATTATGAGCATGACAGGTCAATATTGCAAGGGGTTAACTAAAATCAACACATGTTCCACACACCTCTTTATTATCCAACAACCTGTTCTATACAGAATAGGGAAAGATAATCCCTCTCCCAAGCAGCAAACAGATCAATATCATACACTGGAATAAGGGATTCATTGACTGGAATGAAATGATCTTAGAAGTAGCATAAAAATGAACACAAGTTCCAGGAAGAAATTTTCATTCATTTTAAGGAGAAAGTATTTATTTGAACTGGAAAAGCCTTAGGAAGGGAGCCCACTTAGTGGTAAGGCCTTCTAATTGCCATTAAAGGCAACAGATTTTCTCATTTCTCCAAGAAATTGTTTCTTATTTTTCAAAGACAATAAATTGAACTATGAAGAGGCCAAAGAAATCCTATTCCATGTCAAAAAAACCCAAAAGTCCTAATTGAGTTTGTAGTAAAAATAAGATAAAGAAAGAATGAGATGCCCACTTCCTTGACCTCCACCCTCCAAAGGGCCTATCCAAATGTAAATATTGTCTCCCCACCATGTTTGTTCAAATTTATCTTCCAGGCTCCAGCAATTACTTTGCAGATAGATTACTTGAGCACTGCTTAAGTTCTGTAGCAGCCAGCCTTTCAAAAACAAATGTAAGATGATACTCAGGATTTGAGCAGTGATGGATTAGAAAAGAATTAGAAAAAAAACTACCCAGTCTAATGTTCCCCAATAAGGAGGAATGCATTTCTTCATTTAAGGATATGCCAGAAAGCAAATTATACAGGGCTTCAATGTAACACACAAGAAGGAAGCAATGGCCTAGTGTGGAAAAGAACATCATCTCCACACAAGTGACGTGAAATGATGGAATGAATTATACATAAGACTAAATAATGAACAAACACTGACCTGAAAAGGAAAGAAATGTTATGGGAAGAAATTGCCCCCAAATGAAACTGCAGTAGCCAAATCTCATAAGCACCAAAAGATCCGGCTTGAAACTGCAGAAAATATGAATCATCAGTGTTGAGGACCAGAGGAATTAAGGCCTAACTGGCCTCCTCTGTGAGCACAAAGGAGAAAGGTTGCATTCAAGGGTGACTATTAGGCAAAAGTTAAAACAGCTGAGGTTAAGTTGTTTACCAGATATGTACTAATGAATATTGGAAACCAGACGAATCTTTCCTAACCTTGATCACTTGTGCCCGTGTTTGGCTGAATAAAAGCGAGGAGAGGCAAAGGCTCCAGCTCCTATGCTTACTAGAGGTACAAGATCCCTCTGGTTGCCCACAAGCTAAGCTGACTCCATGTCTCTTTGTTATTCATCCTCGTTCGCCCCTGGTCAGGGAGGAACAAAGTGGGGTCTAAGTTCTGGGACAAGCAAGCCAGGTGGGCCAGCTACAGGTGGTTCCCCAACATGGGGCTCAGACACAGAGTCTCCTGCAGTTAGCGCCCCAACAGGGACCTGAGACGGGGATTGCTACATATCAGTGTACAGATGTGAAAAGTACTCTTATTATGCTGAAGACAAGAATACATCATGAGAGAAAAATTAAGGGAAAAGAACAAATAAGCAAACTGTAACGATAGGAATAAAAGAAAATCCACACTATTAATTTAAAATGAAACAAGAATCTAAAGAAAACATTTATCATCTAACATTGTGAACGTGTAAATTGAGAAGCTCACCCATGACTAAGGAAAAATGTAGGTGAAAGATATGCAGATCTATTCTGGGGAACTGCTTGATTCTCTAGTATGAAGCAAGACTCATAAAGGGGAACAACATCTCAAATGATCTCAGAATGCCGGAAGAAAATGAATAGTTGTAGTGCTTTGAGCAGAAACAGTTATGACCCAAGGATTTTTATACCCAAGGAAGCTGTTAGTTATTATGTGAATTTTTTAAAGATTATTAATGTACATTAAAATACCTCATTTTGTACTTTCACACAAAAAAGAAAAAAGGTTTAAATGTTTGTTCCAGGTTACCAGAAGCTTAATCTAAATTAAAAATGAAATAATGAGGGGAAAATGGCAGATGTGATATTGATTTTTAAAAATCTACAGATAAGCCCAAAATAGTGATGTTTGATTACAAAAACATCAACTATGGAATGTTTAAAAATTTCTAGGTCAAATGGGTTCCAGGGTAAAATAATTTTTGGAAAGACTGCACAGTGCAATTTCCTACAGATAAATCATGATATCTATCATTATATTAACCTGTCTTAAAGTGTTTTTAAAGGTAAATATGGGTATCACTGTAGCTGCTGTGTCAGCATTGCCAAGCTTGCCTGACCATCAGGGCTCCTTCTTTCAGAGCACTTATTAGCATATTATAAAACAAAATGTTCTGGGAATCATTTGGGAAATGCCACCCTAAATAATAATGGTAAATACACTTCCACATAGAACACAAAAGACAAAAGATGCTTACAAAAAGAAAAAGAGGGATCAAGGAGACAAAGATGAAGATGACAAAGAATAGCCGATAATGTAATGGGAACACAAGACAAAGCAACACATCTAATTTTCATCTTCTGGTTGATGAAGTAAAAAGCTATTCTGTTTTTGAATGAATACAAGTAAATGCAGACATGTTTACAGATGGTTAGGGAAATCAAACCCTAAGAAGCTTAAATGCATTTGCCCAATTCCAGGTCAAAGAGAAAATTAATCATGAATACAGTTATTATTTTATCACTATTAATTTCAAAAATAATAAATTTAAAAAATAGTGAAGCAGGATTTTTTATGTATCCAGATTCTTAGGCAGAGTTAAAACTGCATCAAAAGTAATTTTACATCCCTTATAGTACTTTTATTAAGGAGAAAATAAAAAATGAACTAAACTTCATTTTGAAAAATTTCAAAAAAGTGCTTCAAGAAGTCCTAAGGAAATAACAAGAAGAAAATAATAGAAGTAATAAATAGAAGGAAATAATAAGAGGAAAGGAAACAATAAGTATCAAATCAAGCATAAATGAAAAAACATAAAAATTGGGGAAATCACTAAAACAAAAGCCTTTGGCTGATTTCTTTTGTTGTATCAGCTGGAGCTATGCTTACTTAACCAGATTAAGAAATCTTTTCTCTTCTGAATTCAGAGTGCTCTAGCTGTGATTTGGTAGCCCCATTGCCCCATTATAACTTCAAATATGCTTCCATTCATATGCCAAGTTCTTTCAGCATCACTGTACTATAGTAGGGACATGTTTCAATTTCAGTTTCTTTCTGATCTACTTTTTTCTCCCATATAATTCTAAATCCCAGTCTTACAGCTAGAATCTAAAAATCTTAGGTTTCAGTGTAGAAGGCAAGCTGAAACAATTACAAATGATAAAGGGTATATAAAATGTAATCTTTAGAATTATAAAGGGTATATATATTCATATGCACACCAGAAAATACACTAATATTAATTAGGTGAGACTACTGCATATTTCCCTAAATCAGTAATTTTTAAAATGGCTATTCTCTCTACAAACATATTACATAGTTGCAAAGGAAATTTTAGTATAAAATAGAAACAAAAAATGAAAACAGATATTAAAGAATTATTTGTTTAAAAAAGATGTTGGCTAGAACCAGAGATTTAGCTCAGTGGTTCCGCCACCTCTCAAGTTCAAGGTCCCGAGTTTGATCCCTGGTACCAAAAAAAGAAAAAAAGATGTTGGCTTAAATGATTTGTGGATCAATGTTTTAATCTTCCTATAGCAGATCCTTCTTTTAAATATTTTTTCTTGTTGGATGTGGTGGTACTTGTCTGTAATCCCAGCTTCTCCAGAGGCTGAGGCAGGAGGATCACAAGTTCCTGGCTGGCCTTGGCAACTAAGTGAGACTCTGTTTCAAAATAAAAACTTAAAGGGGGGTAGTGAGGAAGTAGTTCTGTGGTAGAGTGCCTCTGCTATCCATCCCCAGTACCAAAAAATAAATATTTTGTTTCTCCTAGAGCATAGAGAAAATAAGAAGAAAACATAAATTTGATATTAAAAGCTGTTAAAATGATGAAAATACTAGCACATATATTTAATTGTTTTATCTGGTTTTAAAATAGTAAATTTAACTTTATTTAAAATCTTTTTTTTTTTTTGGTACCAGGGATCGAACTCGGGTCCTTGTGCTTGTACAGCAGGCGGTGAAACCACTGAGCTAAATCCCCAGCCTATTTAAAATCTTATATAATAAATCTTATTAAATTCTCTTAAAGATAGAATAAATCTATTTAATTCATTACTCAATTTAAACACTCAACTCTTGACCAATCTTATTTCCTCTATAATTCTATTCTCACCTCCCTTCCACTACCATTACCCAATTACATTAAAATCAATCCCAGACATTGTTTTACTTATCTTTAAATATGTCACAAGATTCTTAATGGGGAGGTTTTTCTCCCTTTTTTACTTATAATTTATTTGTTAAAAAAGACTATAGAGCTTTCCACAGAATAGACTCCTGACTATCTGTACATGTTCTTCTATTTCACCTACTTCTTGGCAGTAAGGTTTAAAATCTTTGTGTTGGAGTTCCCAGGTTCCATCAGTCACTAGAAGAGCTCAATATATTACAGAGATAGAATACAAAGGAAAATCAGCAGAGGGAAAAAATACTGGAAAATTACCCGGAAGAAACCAGATGCAAGCTTGCAAAAGGACTCTCCAAGAGGAATCTCTCAGTATTCAGCAGCATGTGACAGTGCCTATGATATACACTATGCCAGAGAAGTTCACTAGAGAATCAAGTGTTTTAGTGGAGACTGGTCATACAAGTACCCTCTGTGCATGTAAGTACCCTTTGTGTGGTGTGCACCTGAGATCCAGGAGAAGAGCCTGACTCTCCTGCTTTTCCCCTGCCAGGTGGAGAATGGGGTGGCTTGACCAGTGGCTGTGGCATCCCTCCCCTGGTTCCCCCAGGCTCCCACCCACCTGCTAATGTTCTAGGACAGCTTGCCTCAGTGTCTTTCCTTGTTATTTAACAGTCTCTCTCCTCCAGGGTGCTGCCACCCACCGACTGAGTGCAGCTTGGCTGTCACCCATGGTGCCCCTCCCCTGCTCCTGACACTTTAGAAGCTGCTACTGCCTCTTTGAAGAAGGGAGAAGGTACCATAACATGGCTAAGATCAGAGAGGAAGAAATCTGGATCTGTTATTAATGTCCCCAACCTCCAAGAACCCCAAATGGCTGTGCTGAACACAGCCTTCCTGAAGATTCCGTAGTTTCAGCCCTGCCATTTTTTCCTCAGAGACAGTACAGCTGTTAATCAAACAGTTGGAGTCCACCCACCCAATCACTGAATTGGCTGCCCACTAACCAGAGGGCTTTGACCAATCACTGGCCTGGAGCTGCTATATAACCAGCACTCCCTACACTCTGCTCCAGTTTGTCTAGGGAGTGCTCCCTCCAGTGTACTGACCACCCTGTGCTTCAGCACAGGCCCTGTTAAAATACAGATTCACTTTCAGGGTCCTGCGAACATGTTCATTATTTCTTGAGTAGTGTGGGCTCCAAAAGTCGTGTAGATCTCAGGATTCTTATCCTTAGTAGTATGGACAGAGCAGTCATCTCAAAAGAAAGTTCAATAAATGCTAGGGACTATTTGCCCTGAAGAACTCCAGAGACCAGCAGCAAAGGAAGAAACTAGTGCCTGACAAAGTCGACTTCTGGCATCAAGCACAAGCTGGCACCAGTTCAAAGTGGCCAGCAGCTGGATGTGTTGATACCCAACATTATCCAGTATCATCTGATGACATCTGGAGTGCTAGAAGAACTGAACTTTTCAATTCATGAGTTAGATCTGAATGGAACAAAAGAACACTCAACTGATTGGCAACACCACAATTCAAGACTGCCAGAAAGAAACCAGGATTCACCATAAGCCACATTTGGTTAGCTCCTGTGCTTTCAGGTTTTACACAGTGTTCAAATTCACAGTGTTGTGAATTTCCTACCTCAAACTTGGATTCAGACATTTCTTCAAGGAGCTTTGCTTTGTATCACTAGGAAAATGTACCTAGAAACCATATTTAGCCACTGTGGGTGTTCACTACTCATTGTTTCTAGGCTTTTCAGTAGACAGATCTAGAAAATAAGTTTGCTTGTTTGTTTGTTTGTTTCAAGATAAACACATGATAACATCATATTGATATTCCTAACTGAAATGTAGAATTTCGTATTTTCCAACTTTCTTAAGTACATATATATATTTTTCTTACATCAAAAAACTCGGTTCCTAATGACATCTAACTACTTGCTTAATCCTATTGTACATATGCAGTAGTTACATAATAATACCACTAAAAGGAGATCGACAGAAACAGTTTAATTTTCCCCCATTATTTTGGTCCTTAATATATAACCCACTTAGAAAGTTTACTATATTTCAAAATATCTTGCACTAATTCTTTTCTGGGTGATTATATTACCAGTAAATACAGGTTTAGATTTATTTGTTTCATTTTAATTTTGTATCTAACTTCACATTTTTAATTTTTTATATTTATGTAAAACACATCCATGACTACAAAGTCAAATCTATAAAACAAGGGATATGAATTCTTTATCGTAAACATTCATGCACTTTCATTTATGTCTTTTTCCCAACTTGCTTTTCCTTTTTGTTCAAAAACCTATACTGGAAATTATTCCACATGTGTATATAGAACTCTTTCTTCTTTTTATAGCTACATATTTCCATTGGGTGACTGTATAATAGTTCATTCAATCCCCAATTGATGAGTATTTGAGTCCCTTCCAGATTTTGGTACTACAAATGGTGCTCTAGCAAATAGTGTTGTACATATGTCTTTTCAAATTTTTCCTGAGCATCTTTGGGATGGATTCCTAGAAATGAGCATTCTGGGTCAAAGGGTAAATGCTTATGTAGTTTTGTTAGACTATGCCAAATTTTCTTCCATGGGACTTGTACATTTTGTATTATTACTAACAATATACAAGAGTGCCTATTCCTCACAGTCTTGCCAACAGTTATCAAACTTTTGAAATTTTGCCAACCTGATAGGGGAGAAATAATAACTCATTATAATTTTAATTGATGTTTCTCTTATGAATAAATAATGTCCAATCAAATATAAGTATAAAGTACATAAAAATATGATTTCCCATTAACAAATAAAGATATTCCAAATAAACAAGAATGTTGATTAATAAAAAACAAATTATTCAAATACAAGTATATCAAACTGTAAATATATTTACTCAAAATAGGCTGAAAAGTATTTGCCAACATGGTATCCAATACCCTTTCTTAGAATTCTTTTTTAACTTTTAAAATTTGAATTTCTAGATAACAAATTCTACTCACAGATTTACCTCTGCCCTCCTCACTTCTCAATTAAAATGAAAGTAAATTAAATATAAACTAAGAATTATCTAGCAACATTGTCAAACTATAAAATGTGCCATCAATGTGCTTCTTTCAGGATTTTTCTGGAAGATATAATGATTAAAACTGCAAAGAAGCATATTGCTTCCAAGGGCTGAAATTTAAAGATAAAGAAAAGACAACTTTCTGAGAGGTTTACACTTGCATTTCTTGGAGATATAC